TTTGTGCCTTTTTATCTTATCTTTGTGTTGCATTTTGTTAATTTCGTTGCCTTTTTTGTCTCAAGTTTACATTAATTTTCAAATCTGGTTGAATTTATTGAATTTTTAATACTCGTTTATTTGCAAATTTTCACATTCTGTACACTTTAGCAAATACTGGGTTGTTTAAACATTGTAATGTTAAGTGGGGACGCTGACAACAGAGCTGCGGATCCAAATACAGGTTTATTAAGAATAGTCAGACAAGCATTGGTCAACACGGGTAAACAGATGTGTACAGGCAATCCAGAGTCGTGGTCAGTAAACAGGCTGATGATCAAAAGGCAGGCAGTACACAACGTTAATAAACAAACCAACAAGACGAGGGTCAAAACACGGCAAAGAAAGACATGAATATGCTTTGTATTGTTCACAATTCTGTATAGCAAGACTCAGCACTGATGTGTGTGTGTGTGTGTGCTGTATAATTAGTCCTTGTAATCAGTTCATGAGCAGCTCCCAGCTGCAGGTGTGTGTAATCTGCCAAATGAGGAACAGGTGCGTGCGAGCGGTGCATGACTGGAACCTGTAGTCCATACACCAGCAGATTTTTTTCAGATAAATTTACATTACACTTTTGGAGATAATGATTAGGTTTTTCCATATTTGACTCAACTGTTGGGTTAAAACAACCCTAATATGTTTAAGTCAATTTGTGCTGCATCATTTTTTCTTTGTGTTGTTTTTGTCCCAAGTTCCCATTAATTTCCCAACTGTTGAATTTATTTAATTTAAAATAATCAATTATTTTGAGTTTCTGTACACTTAAGAAAATGCAGGGTTGAATAAAAATTGAGTTGTTTTTAAAAAAAAAACAATAAACTTTAAACATGACAATGCTGGGTTGTTTAAACTGTTTATACTAAATATTGTATAAAAGATGGACAAACATAATGTTGAGCAAGTTTTTTCTGTTGAATTTTAATACTACTTCTTAACTCAATGGATGTGTTTGTCAAGCATTTTACAATAAGCAGGTCTAATCAGTTCAATTCAAGTTTATTTGTGTAGCGCTTTTACAATAACTAATATCTAATTGTGCAGCATTATTTTCTGCCTATTTTTGTTCATTTCAGTGCCATATATGTCCACATTTTCCCTTAATTTCAGACTTGAGTTATGCAGTTTTTCATAATCATTTTGATATTTTAGCATTCTGTATTTGCCAGCAGATAGAGCAGAGTGTGGTGTTTTACTCCGGCATGACCTGTCTTTACCTGTCCGCTTAAATGTGTTTGGAGTGTATGTGTAGCATTAGAGCAGTGGCGTCTCTCTTCTGTGCTGTGACTGATGGAGTTTCCAGCTCTCCTCCATCAGACCAGCCGAGCGCAGAGACACGGGTGAAGTCATCTCTACATTACCGGCCCCTCAGGGGACACAATTTCAGAGCGGCACGCTTCTCATATTCGTCCCCTCCATTCGCACACACACACATACACACACACACACACTCTCAGAGCCATCCCCAACAGTGTGAAACAAACTCACCTTTATAACACTGAACGCACAGTATGAGACGTGGCCCAATTTTAACGCTTCCCGTAACCCTCTGGACACACTGACACACAGACACACATTCTGCCGTCTGCCTTCATTACATTTTCACACATGTTAGTCCTCCTGAATTATTGTTTTCCCCCAATTTCTGTTTATCAGAGAAGACTTTTTAATAGTTTTAATAACTCATCTCTAATAACTGATGTCTTTTCTCTTTGTCATGATGACAGCACATAATATTAGACTAGATATTCTTCAAGACACTAGTATTCAGCTTAAAGTCACATTTAAAGGCTTCACTAGGGTAATTAGGGTAAAGTTAGGGTAATTAGGCAAGTCATTGTTTAACAGTGGGTTAATCTGGAGACAATCCAAAAAAAATTTGAGTCTTCATCCACCTCATCATCGCTATAAAACAACAACGTGTCCAATAGATGAATAAACATCACCATATTTCAAGATCATGCACCCATTGGCTAAATTCTCCATCAGTCATACAGGAAAGCAAGTTGTCACCTTTTTAATAAAAATAAGAGCATATGCAGAACGTCAAAACACACGACTTCTTTGTTTAGATTTTAGTAACTGTAATTCTATCACTATTACTTTTGTGGTCTCATTTTATTTTTTACCCTGTAAGCTATGACTTAGTCTCATTTTTTACTACAAAGAGGTCATTTTCACTAGTAAGTAACATAATAAACAATGTAAACAACAGGTCTCGAGAAGAAACAGTGACACAATTGTGTCGGTGGACTAAATGTGTTCGATGGGGTCTTATTCTAAGGATTCTTACTATTGAATGGCATAATATTTTCGGTGGTCAAATTCGGTACATCTCTAATATCAACACACTTTTAGATTCACATTTTAGATTCACATTGAGGGTTGTAGCTTGATGTACAGTTTGTCGAGATTACTCGTGCTCTTTTGGATATGTTCAAAAACAGTGCCCCAGTGCATCCGCATCTACGTCCTGACGCTGGCTAGTAGGGTAATTAGGGTAAAGTTAGAGTATTTAGGCAAGTGAATGTGTAACAGTGGTTTGTTCTGCAGACAATTCAAAACAAATACTGCTTAAGATGCCTAATAATATTAACCTTAAAATGGGTTTTAAAAATTAAGAACTGCTTTTATTCTAGCCGAAATAAAATAAATAAGACTTTCTTCAGAAGAAAAAATATTATAGGATATACTGTGAAGAATTTCCTGAATCTGTTAAGAAATATTTGACTGGATCATCTGTATGTGTAGCAGGTGGAACAGTCCATTTTTCAGAGTGGGGAGGTTTTCATATCATGCACATGAATGATCTACTGATCAGTGTTTAAACACTGCTCTCTGTGTAATGAATTAATATTATGCGCAAGCCAGATTTTTGGTTTTGCATCCCTGAGGAGCTTCGAGAAACCAAACCACGATTCTTTGAAAAGAAATAAACCGTTCTGCTCCCCATGATGCTTTCCTCCCCTTTCCTCCCGCCGTTCCGGGTGTCAGGGGTGATTAAACGCCATGGAAACAAGACCCTGCTGTCAATCATCCCGCGCTGGATTGAAATGCAGCATTATTTGATCAGTATGCAGAGTGTTTCACACAAACAGACTTAAGACAGACGGGAGTTCACTTCAGATTTAGGTTTTCAGCTGAGGCAAGACCACCCACCCACTCTCGTCTTGTGTTACAGACACAATATTAGCATGTGTGTATGTGCGCGCATGTGGGTTTTTGTGTGCACGTGCTGCAAACCATCGCAACTCTATTATGTGGCAGCACAAGCCAATAGCTTTAGGAGTGAAATTCTATTTTGAGGACAACTGGAGCGTGTGTGTGTGTGTGTGTGTGTGTGTGTGTGTGTGTGTGTGTGTGTGTGTGTGTGTGTGTGTGTGTGTGTGTGTGTGTGTGTGTGTGTGTGTGTGTGTGTGTGCGCGTGTGTGTGCGTGAGCAACACCTACATCTTCTCATAATATAAAGGTTGTCTAAACATGCATATTCTGTCAAATGTATTTGAGTATTAATATCTTCTGGCATTCATATGCAGCAGTGTATCCTCCCACATTTAGCAAACACACACACACACACGTTAGATTGTTTCAGTGACATTTATGAAAAATGAGAACTTTTTAGACATCATAAGTATAGTCAGGTGGCCTCACAGCAAGAAGGTCGCTAGTTCGAGTCCCGGCTGGGTCAGGTGGCATTTCTGTGTAGAGTTAGCATGTTCTCCCCATGTTTTTGTTCACTCCCATTCATGAATTCTTTCAAGTAAATCATAGCATAGCATAGCATAGGATATGCATGGGATGCGCACTTCAGAATCTCGCCGTAAGTAATAGTTCATCCGGGTACTTGTCGCATACTGATTTTCAAATTCTATGAATTCAGACATAGTACTCAACTCGTATACTGATTTTAGCGTACTATATAGTATGGAAGTATATGGTTTCAGACGCAGCCTACTAAACATGATTTTAATACTGAGAGCACTAGGATGAATGTTTTTAAAATACACTGTCAGGAAGAATTTTATATCAGACTGAAAAATCATATCTGATGTTTTAAATGTACATTTTAATGTATCGTCTCTTATGGGCCCTTTTTACAAGACTTATGATGCATTTAACAGCTATTGCATCTTAAATGCTTTAAAGTTTTTAATATTTAGATTTTATAAGGTGTACATTTATAAAGCTATACTTTGTATTATATTATCTTTCCATCAAATTACAAAAAAAATACTGCTTATGCGATGTGTTTTTAATGCAATGCTTATGGGTGCAGGACAGTAAATTAGGCATTGCTTTCTCTCTTCTTTGCTGTCGTTATCAGTCCTACACCATTATTTTCTTTTTTCTGAAATCTTAAATACACTACCGTTGAGTTTGACTTTTATCATTTAAGCAAATAGGAATGAAAATAATATAATCAATATTTGTGGTACTCTCCTATTCACCGTGCTTTAAGTGTACCAAGCTATGACAAACTCAGTACTGGCAAACTTGCAAACTTTGTGAAAAGGGTCAATTGTATTATGAAGTTGTTATTATTATTATTATGTAATATATTTTTATTTATATTGATCTTGCCATAAGTAGCCAAAATATTGCTTATGTGGCAATAAATAAACAAACCAAATATCATTTACTGTTCATCTGAATCAGCTGAGCTGCTGTGACAGTGTTAGATGTTCTGTTTGTGTGTGTTTCTCTCTCTGCAGATATGACTATGCATGTGCAAGTACAGTAAAAGTATCTGTTGTAAGCAATACTTAAATTATGAGTGAAGTTAGGCCTTCTAAAAGTACTCAAAAGTAGTAAATATTACACTTTATTTTAAACACTGCAGATTAAAAATGTGCTTTACATTAGTGCCAATTTGTTTTATGGACATTTTTGAGTGTTATTGTGTTAGTTATTGTTAGATGTTCAGATGAATGTGTGTTCATGTGTGTGTTTCTCTCTCTGCAGATATGACTATGTGGAAGTGAGAGACGGCGTGGATGAGAACGGGCAGCTGGTGGGCAAATATTGTGGAAAGATCGCTCCATCTCCGGTGGTCTCGTCGGGAAACCAGCTCTTCATCAAGTTTGTGTCCGACTACGAGACTCACGGTGCCGGATTCTCCATCCGCTATGAGATCTTCAAAACGGGTAAGGAAAAAACATTTACAAACATCCACTTTATGAGGCCAAGGAGCCCTATTTAAGTCTGTCATGAGCCGGAAGCTGCTGTTGGCCCCTAATAGTATCACTCAAAACAGCATGGTCCTTTAGAATTGTCCTAACCCTAACAGCGCCCCTGCTTGCAGAGAGTAGGGTTTACAGCTAGTGGTTAAACTAGGTATTGCAGTCCAAATTCAAATCATTGTGTGTATATTTTTCACATGGCACCCTCTGATGATGACTCGACATACAAACAGGTTGCCAGATTGACAACATCAACATTTTGCAAGCATGCCTGATTATCGAGACCTACCTAGTGGTTGAACCCGGTATTGCAGTCTAAATTCAAAACATTGTAGGGGTTTTTGTTCACCAAGCCCTTCTGATGACGATAGCACTAAACATATGCAGGTTGCCAGATTGATGACACAAAAAGAAGCGAGTGTGCTTGATGATTGAGCTAATGCTTATGTTTGTAATATTTGTATTATTTACAATTTAAAAACCACCTCATGTGGATTATTACAACTCTGTCACGTTTTGCAACGCCCACATTCATAGAGAGCCTTCATGACTGAAATGAAGTACTTTGTTGTTCACTAAGGCAACCCAGGGTGCTGAAATGCAATAGGTTAAACTGACAGAGGGCGGAGCTACACAGATCAAAGCAAAGACAGACATGCTGTATCGTGACGCACATTTTCAAAGCAGAACATCTGACTGTAGCATTACTTTTCAGATGAACAAGTATGTTCACTGAGCATGTTTCTGAAATATCTGCACACACATGATGGGTTTTTAATGCTTTAGAAGAGTTAAAAGAAAACTTACAGCCACCTTATAAATAGAAACATGAGCGAGGGGAAGTACTTTCTGTTTTCTCTCTCGTCAGAGGACAGATCAGCTGATAACACTTGTAGACCTTCAGGGTCTCTCGTTCGGCCCCCAGAGACTCACAATGAGGGGCCGCTGCTCTTATCTGGAGATGTCACGGCAATAAGCAGAAATTTCCTGTTGTTCAGAAGTGTTTTCTGTGTTTGAGGTGGAGAGAGAAAGCCTGTGAAAGTGTGTGTGTGCGTAACCCCAGACAGGTGCAGTCCATCATGGGCAAATATTGACCCTGAGTGACCCACGAGTCTGACCTCAGGATGAGACGGATGTCCTATTTTAATCTTTATCGTCCGTTTGTGAGCAGTTATTCCCATAAAAAGAACAATTGCAAGTGAGATCGCTGTAATATCCCAATTGTTACTCTTACACGACAAAGAAATAATTTATAGAACAAAAGAAAACAATTGAAGTTTTCTAAAATCCAGTTTGTTTTTCTGTCATTTTTCTGATCCCCAAGGCTGTATTTATTTGACCAAAGATTCTGTAAAAAATAGTAAATAAATACTAAAAAAAATTGTAAAATAAAATTATAATTTAAAATAGCAGTTCTCTATTTGGGATGCATTTAATAATTAAATTTATCCTTGTGTTTCAATGCTGAATATACGCCAATTTACTCCATTATACTGTCTTTAGTGTTACATTATCATTCAGAAAAAGTCTTAATATGCATATTTGAAGCTCGTTTCTGATTCTAATATGTGTTGAGATTATGTTTTTATTACTTTTCACAATTCAGTGATGTATAGAAAGTCATAAAAATGTCACTTTTGTTCAATTTATTGGATACTTGTTCAATAAATTTCCTTAAATTGTGCAGTAATTGATGTTTAAACAGTGCTATATATGGGGAAAGTTATTGAACTTATTAGCCTTTACAGAAAACCCCCATTGCCTTCACATATGCAATCCCATTACATAGTTAAAATCAATTAATTGAAGAAAAGAAATGTATTAATTCGTTTTTCGTGTTATATTTCTGATCAACAAGGCTTTATTTGTGTGACCAAAAATTCTGTAAAAATAGTAAATAATATTACAGTTTAAAAGAGCAGTTCTCTATTTGGCTGCATTTAATAATTTAATTTATTTAATTTGTTTCAATGCTGAATTTACTACTGTCTTCAGTGCCACATGATCTTTCAGAAAGCATCTTAAACTGCTGCTCATTTCTGATTATGATCGACGCTGAAAAGAGTTTTTATCACTTTAATGTACTTAAATATATGCAATACTTCGTATACCATTTGAACAGTACTATATATGTATTTAATAAATTATTTGATTCATCAAACCTCTCAGAAAATCCTGATTTTGTAACATGTTCATGTGAAATGAATGTGATCATGTTTACACATCAGCATTTGTGCTCTAGTCAGATAAATTAATTGATAATAATAATAATGCATTGCTAATATTATTATTGCTGTTATTATTATAATTATTATTATACAATGATAATAATAAAATAAACACATTGGCTTCAAAAACAACCCATTTCCTATATTTTACGTATGATTTTAACTGATTGTACATGTGAATTAAATGTTTTTTTAACAGTACAGGATATTATATTATTATGTAGACTTCTTATTTAACATATTGTCTTTTTAGCGATTTCAACATAAACATTTTTCAACAAAGTTGAGTCTCGTAATGTCTAAAAGAGCATCCTCTGAGTAATAAGTGTTCCTGCGGGTTCCCTTCCCCCAGTTTCACCACACACACTTTGGCTCATCAATAACATCAATACGTCTCCCACAGTATTCCATTATCTCAGTGCTGGTTTTCTTAAACTCATCTTCCTGATGTGTCTGATTGGAAATAAGGTTCCTCTGGAGGGAGCGCAGTCGTCTGAAACATATCGACTGGGGCTCGGCCAGACTCTCGGCCTCGTGTTGGGTGTGTTCCTCCAGAAAATCCACTGGTTTATCAGCATGGGTGGCCGTAAAGTCCTGTGTGAACAACAAACAGATCAGATTGAGGGATTCTCTGTGACTCACAGCGGTGGAAGGAGTAAAATCAAGTGCAGTTAATTGGCAATAAATGTACTGGAAGTACAGTAAAAGTATCTGTTGTAAACACTATGAGTAAAAGAGTAGTGTGTGTAAGCAAGCATTGAGTATTACACTGAAAATGACTTCAATTAGAGGACAGAGAAAGAAAAAACAGGTGAAGGGATCTGAATGTAATGGGGAAGAAAGAGAAGAGATTTAAAAGCCTTGTCAGCAGCATCTGATCTACATACGACATGCAGGCAAACGTGATTAAGCGCAGGTGTTTGAACAGGTGCGCAGGTATTCAAATCAGCCATCATTATAAGACTGCAACACCATTTAAATCTTACGATGATACTCATTTTGGGCTGCTGCGTTTGGAGAGGTAAGCTGTGGATTAGAGCGGGTTTCACACACACATCCACAGCGTGTGGGCCGATTCGCTGGAAGCAGCAATACAGCAGAATATCTCATTAAAGGTACGCTCTGTGTCTTGTGTTTTATGGAGCTCTCAGATGGCAAAACTCGTCAACTTCAGCGGCTTTGGTAAGTTCTTAAAGCAATTAGCCACGAGAGACTGTGCGTTACAGGGATTTAATGCCACCATGTCTGTAAGAACACCATTTCATCCTGGTTAAAGCACTTTAACACATCTAAAGTGGATTATTATTGTTTGTTTTAAATGCCAGCCACAGCGATATGGAAATGATGAGACTGCAGTAGTCAAACCATTTTGGCAAGCAATATAGATGATAGAATACTTACAGATAGATAATAGATTGATGGATGGGTGAAATGATACCAAAATATAATGATGGATGGATGGATGGATAGATGGATGGATGGATGGATGGATGGATGGAATGATATAATATAATGATGGATGGATGGATGGATGGATGGATGGATGGATGGATGGATGGATGGATTGATGGATGGATGGATGGATGGATGGATGGATGGATGGATGGATGGATGGAATGATGGATGGATGGATGGATGAAAAGCATGCATTTTGGAGTAGAGTTGACTTGATGGATGGATGGATGGATGGATGGATGGATGGATGGATGGATGGGTGGATGGAATGATATCATGATATAATCATGGATGGATGGGTGGATGGATAGAAGAGATGGAAAGATGGGTGGATGGATGGTTGGATTGATGGAAAGAATGCATTTTAGATTAGAGTTGGATGGATGGATAGAATGATGGAATGATAATTTAATCATGGATGGATGAATTGAAAGAATGCATTTTGGAGTAGAGTTGAGTGGATGGATGTATTGATTGATTGATTGATTGATTGGTTGGATATATATGTTGGATTAATAGAAATAATACATTTTAGAGTAAATTTGGTCGGATGTTTGGACGGACAGATGATAGTCATAAGTAAAACATGATACATAAGCAATATTTACATTTCCCTTTGCCTTCATATGGCATGTTAATACTTTTGGAATGTTGGTAAGTAATGGAGAGTAAAGTAATGAAGAGAATGAGAGAGCCGATGTGAACACTACACGAGAAGGAGAGAATAAACAGAAGCACAAGATGAGAGAAGAAACTATTCAGGAATAAAAAAGTGTGAAGGTGACAAAGAAAGTGAGGGAGAGAAGATGAGGTGAAGAGAAGGCGAGAAAGCCTGGAGCTACACACACACACACACACACACACACACACACACACACACACACACACACACACACACACACACACACACAGAGAGAGAGAAAGATAAGAGATGAGAATCTTTCCACCACAGCTATCTATGAATGCAATCAAGCCTGACCCAAGCACTAACCCACACTGGACAGCATGGATATCTAACGAAGAGCTGTCCTCCGGGGCTTACACACACACACTCACACACACACACACACACACACACACACACACACACCATGTTCTTTCTCTGAGTTTCCTCACACCAGCCTTAACAAGGGCTTTCAGAAGATTTTTAGAATCTTGCGTATCCCCTCTGTAAAAAAGAGGAGTGTATAGTTATCATGTCATCCTGCCATGCCGTGGCATCCTGAAAATGGCCTTTCTTAGGGTGGAAGGAGACGTGCGTTTTTAGCGAACAGCTCTGCA